AATGTCCCAGACTTTATCTCTGCCTTTGCCCTTGTTTTTTCTTCTGCCTGCCAATCACTGCTTAGTCTCCAAAAGTGGCTCATTGTCCCCTCTGTAAATTGGTCCCTGATTACCCGAATCAGATTTTTCCCCAAGGACAGATTTGAACTCTTCTTTTCCACCATATTTAAGACATTTCAGTTCTGTCACTCAATGAGCAGTTATTATTTCTGCTTTGCAATGTAGTTGTGTGTCTTCTTTAAGTAGGTTGGAAGCCAGGAAATGTGTTTTAGGGATCTTTTTCCTTAAATGAAAAAAATCTCCTACACTTTGTAGGACCCACAGCAATGGGTTCAGTGCTCAATAAAAATGTTGATAAAATGTATTCATTCAACAAATTATTCAGAGGCCTCCTAGGAGCCAGGCACTGCTTTAGGAACTGGGATACAGCTCCTGCCTTCATTCTTGTAGTGAGAAATAGATTTTACATATATATTATATACATACATGTATATATACGTATACACATACGCACATGCATATATTCATACAGAAGTCAGATAGTGATAAGACTGGAGGAAATATGGAGAAAAAAATAAAGAAAGGTGGCTGGTGGGAGGACAAGGAAGAGATGAGTTGCGATTTTACATAGGGCGATCAGGAAAGGATTTTTGTGTATCTAGAGCCTACAACAGTGCCTCATCGTAGGCATAGGGTCGCCAGATAAAGCAAATAAAAATACAAGATGTCGAATTGTGTGTGTGTGTGTGTTTGTGTGTGTGTGTGTGTGTGTGTAAATATGTCCCATGCACTATTTGGGACATGTCACACTGCTGTTTATCTGCAATTCGAATTTAACTAGACGTCCTGTATTTTATCTGGCAACCCTACTAAGGAGCTCAATAAATATTTGATGACTTAATTGAGTGGCTTTTTCTCACCTGGATAGTGGGGCTAATGATAGACCCGCCTCCGGGGTTGAAGGGAGCAGTATATGAAGCACTTGACATTCAGTGAGCCCTCAATTTATTTGATTGCCTGGGAGCCATGCAGCGGGTGGTAAACGCTTCCACTTATACACACAAAAACGGTTAAGAAGGCCTCCTCCCGGCCAAAGGCTCCCAGGCCAGGCCTAGGTTG